AACATAGGCTTTAGACCAGATGGAAAAGATAGTTCAGGCTTGTTTTGATGTTCTGAGTTTTAGGGCTTGAAGGAAGGTGGTGCTTGAAAGAAAAATGTTTATGTATGCAAATATACATATTTAAATTTTTTAAGGGATCTCAGAAGGCTTTGGCAAGAACTCCCACTGAATTCTGGAGGGATTTGGTTCCCAGTTTTGCTTATTGTCTATGGAAATTCCGTCTGTAACTATGTGGTTTTGCAATTGGGTTGAAAAATGGAAGACAGAAGAAGAGCACCCCAGAACAGAGGGAATTGATCCAGACTGCGGTCCTGGAGAGGATAACAGAGTAGTCTGCTGAAGCTGTTGCAGCTGAGATAGGAAAGAGAGGCAGCGTGCATTCCTCGAATGCTGCTTTGTGCCTGTTACCAACTGTGTGAAGGAGGCTGGCCACAATGTGGGAACACAGGCAAGAATCCCTGCTCTGCTAACTCTTAAAAAAGGTATATCTGTGGGTCAAGGCCAATTCTGCTAGCACCCAAACTGAACCAACAAGTTTTTCATTAATGTAAGCCAGTGTTGTAGATAAAATGTTGCTGTAAGTATAGCTCAGCTTTTCCTGTAAGGTGGAAACAGGAAGGACGAAGGAAAGAAGTTGTTTCCAAAAGCACTTGAAGCTCCTTCTCTCCACACTCCTTCTCCTGCCTAATATGTTTTGTTTGCTTGTATATAGTCTGTGATTCTGGAAGACACAGTCTAGAAGCATTTTGCAATAAAGAATATGTTTTCAGAGGGCTTCAGGGATTTCTGGCATTTGTCAGGCTGCTGTGGGAAGTTCTTCAATAAATAAGTGGAACAGTAAAGTTACTATTAACAAAATGTTCTTAAGGCAGCTCCCCCTAGTCACCTCCTAATTTCTAAATAAGCATGCCTATTGTTGCTACTCTTTGTGCATGAATTCGTGCACAGTCATGTGTGCTGATGCAGATGAACAGCAGTGACATCGTATCTCGCGGCCACGCTGATGATGCCTTGGGTGGGAGTTACTCGTGTGGAACAGTGGTTTACGTAATCTCCTCATCCCTGCCCATGGGCTGGGAAAGGAAGAAGGCTGGAAGGAAGGGAAGAAATTTATGAATTCTGTGATGTGTTCAGGTTTTTGCTGTCATTTTAAGTGACTGCATTTTCTTAATGTGGTACTGGCATTAATAGCTGAACAAGCAGCAAGAAATAGTGCAAGAGGCTCTTTCTTATATTCACGTGTGCTGTAAAATCATCTTCTCTTCTTATTGCTTTGATAAAATGCCAAATTTATGTTTCAATCGTTGACCAATGTAACTTGAATAGTCCGTGAGATTATTGGAATTGTCTGCCTTCAGTTTTGTTTTGTATAATTTCACTAACTTTGTAACAGATCTGGGTGATGTTTATGGAAAAGTCATTATATCTCTGTTCAGTGACTTATTCTTTTGACCTGACTAGAGAATGTCCATAGATACCTACTTCTGATTAATCTTCAGCTCTTAGAGATGTTTTTACATGCTATAATTGTGACTGTGCTAGAATTGAGCTTGGAGATCTACCTGCAGCATTGCCTTAACTCTTTCAACTTTCATCACCAATTCTTCTTTCTGTTTTTGCTGGTCTACTGTCAGCTGGATGAACAGTTTCATCATTTTTTCTACTCAACCAGATTTCCTTTTTCAAGCCTTCTCACTGCCTATTTCTCTTTTTGTATGCTTTAGAAATTGCATGTCTGAGTAAACTGAAATGTAATCAGAAGTCTATCAGAGGAATATGATGTAAGTGGTTCTTCTGACTCAGTACTGTCTCAGAGAAAATTTAATCTCAGTAAGAAGTTCTTTAGAGCTTTTTCCTTTTGAGTTTTCCTGAAAACAAACAAAATATTCAGGAGAAATTTTCTTCTACTTAAAATTCTGAAACACTCGTGTATGAACTTCTCTCTGGTGCCAAAAGTGATCTGTTTAAAAACTGACTGATGTATCTGTTTCTTTTCTTCCCTTCCTTTTCAGAATTTTGCTGGATCCACTGTAACTTCCTTTAAAATCAGGTTACTGATGAAAATTCCAATAATCTCAAAATCTGTGTATCTCCCTGAATAATTTCCATCCATTACTGTCTCCCTTATTTTTACTTTGCATACAGTGAAAATTGTTTTGGTTTTTTTTTTTCTGGCAATGGTGTTTTTTCTATGCTGAGATCCTCTTTTAAGTGGAAAAAAGAGAGATACTTCAACATTTTATAACATCCAGAGCAACAAACATTCATTCTCAATTGTATAGTGTGTATCTTTGCTGGCAATTGCAATCAACTTTTCATAACATGAACATATGCACAAGTGAAGTCTTCCTCATTATCAAAAGCATTTTTAGGGTCACAACATACTGCCTATGAATTATAATGGGCACACACTCTGTTCAACAGAAAAATAAATAGATTTCAAAATGAAGAAGAGAATAGGCTACAGTGAGGAAAGCTGAAATAGTCAACACTTGTGGGTTATGTTTCAGACTATGATTTGCTGTGTGTCATTTGGGAAACCACTTACTTTCTCTGTTTATAGGTGCAAAACGAAAATTTTTCTTGAAGTAGTTATATAAAAAAAAGAAGTTTAAGCTTTTATGTGATCAAATGGACAGATACAAGTGGTACTCTGCAGACATAAAATTATGGACAGATACAAGTGGTACTCCGCAGACATAAAATTATCTAATCTGAAATTTGCAGAGAAAGTATTTCTCAGGGCTGTTTTAGGTTTTCAAAGATCTTTGTATTAAAAGGTGAGTAACTACGGAACTGAATTTTCTGAGTTTTCACCAGTGAATTTGATTGTAGCTGGTTTTTTTATGAGGTTGACAGATTGTTTTTGGTTTTTCCTCAGATTTCTTCCTGTCAGGTTTCTAGCTTGGTGTTAGGCAAGATGAGCTAAAAGCAATTACTTTACAAATCAAATGTCTTTAATGATAATTTAATCCATCTTTCTTCTACCAGTCACCAGCATTTCTAGGTCAGTAGCCATCTGACTGTGCTTAATTTGAGTTACACATCAGATAGTAGTTTCTAGCACTTCTGATATGAGACTGGCTATAAGTAATTTCCTGGGGCATAACTTGTTAATGGCCTTAGCAAGTAGCTTACGTCATTAAAACTTTTAAGAAATTATATGAAAGTACCAAACAGAGCTCTACATTCTTTGTTCTGGCTAATCTCTTTTAAGTTTTTCTAAGGTGCCAGTCATTGTGCTATCTAATAAATAAGTCGGAAAGAAAAACCACTAATTTCAAAATGAACTTCCAGCCTCGCTGTCCCAATTCCGCATGCTTCTTTTTCTGTTACAATGCCCATCTGTTATGGACAGATGCTCAGGCCGGTTTCAAGAGGCTTACTGGATGGTCTTTCCACAATGGGCAAGTTAATGTACCAATACAGCTGCTTTTACCTGTGGGTGAATTAAGTAGATTTTCAGGAATATAATGCAAGAATCTGCACGCAAGCTGTCTGCTGCAGACATCTCTGGACTTGGACTTACCTTTACCATAACGTTTGTCACCATACAGGAGATCCTGGGATGAATCAAAGAAATGGCAGCGGATTTCCCTAGGATTTTTCCTAGGATTTTTTTTTTTTCCTCATCAGATCTCCCAAAATTATTGCTCTTTTAAAGAAACAGCAGCCCAGCCCCAGTCAGGGCAGGCTGGCTGCTTCATGCTTCCTGGCCAAGACTATGAAGTTAGAATTTGACTAACTGCATCAAGATCACCTAAGAAAAGCCACTGAGATCTCAACTGAGTGACAAAGTTAAGAATAAGGAACAGCTGAGAGAGGAAGACCTCCAGGGACTGTAGCACAGGAAGCAGAATTGTGAAATTTCTGTCTGAGATGCACCTCAGTTATCAAATTCAGTTGAATATTTTATGGGTTTGTCCTGATGTGTTTTATGGACTTAGATTATATGGAGCATTTCATCCAAAGATTCAACAACTTTTGTCAACGCCCACAACACTCCCAGTATTGATGGGAGCATTGTACCGACCTGTGCCTTTGTGTTAAAATCCCAATTAAAAATGCAGTCCCATCTTTTAATAACACAGTTGAATGAATACAAATAACTTGCACAAATGCCTGTATAAAACTCACCACAGTTTTGGCAGCTGAATAAGAATTGCAGGCAGATATGATGACAGAATAACTTTTCAGAGCATAGTAAGATTATCTTGCAGGGAAATATACCACATTAAAATCCATGGGATCTGAGAAGTTAAATCATGATTTCTTGCAGGATTAAGAGCAGTTTGCATGGGATAGCAGTAAGTTCAACACAGCTTTTGATCAGACAGGATGAATAAGTGCTGCTAACATATAATTATTGATGAGTAATTCTAGCAAGTGCTGTGTTTTCTGTTGAAACTGAAAGTAAGAACAAATATATCTAATATATCTAGTGCTCCTTACAGGATAGTACCCCAACTGTGATTGGTAGCATTTGCTTATGGAGAGCACAAGAACTATATATGCATAAAAATGATCCTTCTGCAGTGTGTCCTGATCCTGATTTGCTCCAACATCTGCTGTCAGTCAAAGATTTCAGGAATTCCTTTATCTGGAACCCTCTGAAATTTATCTTTGTACTGTTGCACACCATTTGATAGTCCATTTCAAATACAAGCTTTTAAACTATTGGCAGTTATCTGTATGTGACTGAAAAGTATGACACAATGGAGTCATCTTGTCATTAAGGAGTAGAACCAGTTCTCAGGAGATCTGGTCCCACTGTGTACTTGTCAGGTCAACATTACAACTCTCAGCCTTTCTGTGCCTTTTATCCTTAGTAAAATAGGAATAAAGATACCTTTGATATTTGTCTTGCTTATTTTGGGTTGTACCATGCTTAACAATGTGATTTTCATTGGAGGCTGTAATATTAATGTCACAGAAACAAAAAGTAGTTGAAAATCCAATCATGATACAGTACTAGATTTTCTCCCTCTCTCTTCCTCTAGATTTTTAGAGTGTGGGATATACAGACTCTTTCACTGCTGCAGGTCTTCCATGATAATCAAGGGAGTCCTGGAGAGATGGAGACCTTTGCCATAGTATTTGACAATGATCGTGGCACACTTATCACCGGTATGTTACTGCAGTTGATGTGTGAGAGCATGCCCCTTCTCTTAGAATGCAATTCCCTTTATGATTACATACAGCTGAAGTTGAGTAAAGGAATAAGGTATATGAGATGTACAGAATACTGAGAGGTAAGGGTATTTGCACATTAAGATTATTTTAAAGTAGGTCTTGTTATATATGGTGCTAATTTCAATATAGAAATATGCATGAAAATATGGAGCATGGGAGTTAACAGCAGGAACCAGAGGAAATGAGGAAGGCTTCTCTGAAGGCAAGGTGAGCCTTCCTTAGAAATACTAAACTACAGATATTGTTCTGTAGCCTTATCATTTCTTGAAAGCTGCTGATCTTCCCCTAACTATTCCTCTAGCACTCTCCTCTCATTTGAAAATCAAAGCAGCAAAGTATAGTCTCTGGAGCCCTCACAAATGTATTCAAACTCCTTATTTAACTCAGTAGCTACAGAAAACCCCACAAACTGTGGTGTCAACAGATGCACTGTCTGATTGATCAGGAATAAAATATTATGGGAACTTATCCTGAGGTTTCTGGGGTCTGTTTCCTGGCTCTATAGCAGGGAGCCTGGAACCTCCAAGGGACCAGAGTTTCGCAGGTGTCACTAAGGACATTAGCCTTCTATATCTAAGGCAGAGACTCTGGAAACTGGCAGGGTTTTGTTGCCCCAGAGATGTAGTCACTGAAAAAAAAACAGCTTTGAACCTGGTCTGGGACTATAGAGGCCTGAGACATACCAGGCAAATAAGGTCATTGTCTTTGGAGACAGCTTTTTCTGTCCTTGCATTAGGAACAAGGCACAAATCTTGCAAAGCTTGTCAAATCTGAGAAGATCAATGTGAAACATTTTGTTTTCAGTGACCTGGTAGTTTCTGCTGAATCTTTGTGCCAATAAACTTGTTTTAGAAGCCTAAATACATAACATATATATGTATTTAGGCATTTGGTAAGCACTGCAAAGCTTAAGAAACTTCAGCTTCTAGGTCTTATTTAAAAAATGCCCAGAATATTAATCAGTCTAGTTTTTAAAGATTTGTAATCACTAAAGGATACAGAGACAATCTTCAGTTCAAATTTAAGTTAGTGAGATTTTCAAGGCTTAGTAATGTAGGCATTTTACATGGATAAATGCTTGACAAAATGACGTAACTTTGCCCTTATAAACAATAATTGGAGCAGTGCCTAAATATCTGTAAAAATCTGGTCCTGGACTCTGTTAATGATTCCATTAAAAGGCTAAATGAATGTCTCCTTGCCCCTGAAGAGGGCAAGAGACTGAGGTATATGTGGGCAAATTAATTCTCATTGCTATGTGCCTGGCTATACAGAGGAGATTTTCAGTTACTAGTTCACTAACATCCATAAATCACAGCTCACCTTCATGCTTCATTTGAATATTGCCATAGCTTTCCTTCTGTGCCTTTTTCCAAGCTGCTGGCCCCTATGCCTGGACTTAAGCCAAGTATTAGGCAATTTTGTCCTTTGCTGCATACTCACTGCTGACTGCTGCTCCTCTACTGGTAAAACTGTAGCAATACTGGAACTGCAATAGGAGGCTGCATATGTATTCTGGCTTGTGAGCCTGTGTTGTAAAAACCTTGTGCTTTCTTTTATTTTGTCATCCCCATCTGCCGCTCTGTCTTTGCAACCCTTCTGATTGAGAGCACTGGAAAGTGCCTGGAAAACACCATTCAGACCTGCAGTGCTGTATAAAAGAAGGTACTAGAAAGACATCATCATTGCCTGCAAATAGAATTGCTTTATCTCTAAGAAAGCAGATACCAGAATTTATTTTAGTGATATATCTGCCAGTCAGAGTTTTATTTATTTGGGTTCATTCCATTCCATGCCAGCCCACTCTGGGACTGGTGGATTTATGGCTCCTAATGATTTGGAGTCAGGGTATCAATCCTATCAAAGGTGGGCAGGTGGTCATTTAAGGCAGGTAAATACTTAGCCATTGTTTAACTGGTGCTTTGTGGGAAGTATGTGTAAATGTTTTCTCATTTAGAGAACAGATATTCTCAAAAACCAGACAATATTCCTTATCTTCTTCAGAAGAACTTAAATTAACCCTATGGTTTACATAATATCTTTTTATATCCAGGGAAAGTAACTGGTACGATACACAAAATGTATCTATTCTCACCCCCTCACCCTGTGCAGGTTCAGCTGTCATTGATATTTATCCGCTAACTCATATGATACAAGATACAAGACAGGTGCCACAGACACATGAGAAAAGCATCAATGTTCTGGTTTACAACAGGGCTTTTCACCAGATTCTCACTATCTGCTCTGAGTCAATACTGAAGGTGAGTGTAAGTTGTCACTATTTAAACTAAAAAAGAAAAGTCTCAGCTTTTTTTATAACAAATAAGTTACTGGGCAATTAGATAAGTGATTAGTGTTTATTATTCAAAGTGTTGGTTTTGTGGCTATTTTTATGCTCAAATTGTTCAGGGGAGTGGTAGCCATGATGCA